GTGCAGTGATTTTACAGGTGTTTTCTATCTTAGTTGTTGTGGTCGTGCGTTCACCAACATTCTCATTACGCCTTGTGCTCTTCTTGATTGGGCTATGGTGGTTTGTTTTTACCATCCCGGCAGCCTTGTGGCTGCGCACTCGGCCAGGCCCACCTTTGTTGGGCAGTGACGGCAAACCGCTCCATTCGTGGATCTCATACATGGCATACGCCTGGAAATCTCTTGGAAAAACCATCGCGCGGGCGCGGCAGCTGAAAGATATCGTGATCTTCCTTGCTGCCTGGTTCCTTCTCAGTGATGGAATTGCCACTGTCAGTGGCACTGCCGTACTATTTGCGAAAACCCAACTCAACATGAAGCCTGCCGCCCTGGGACTGATCAATGTGATCGTCATGCTTGCAGGAGTATTCGGTGCATTCACCTGGAGCTACATATCGAATTTCTTCAATCTCAGAGCCTCACAAACAATTATTGCGTGTATTATCTTGTTTGAGCTCATTCCACTGTATGGTCTTCTTGGATTCATCCCGGCTGTGCAACGCGTGGGGCTTGGTCTCCACCAGCCTTGGGAAATGTATCCTTTGGGGGCCGTTTATGGCCTTGTTATGGGTGGACTGTCATCATACTGTCGAAGCTTCTTCGGGCAACTCATCCCCCCTGGTTACGAAGCGGCTTTCTACGCGCTTTATGCAATCACCGACAAAGGGTCTAGCATTTTTGGACCAGCTATTGTTGGCGCTATTACGGATCGCTACGGTGAGATTCGACCGGCGTTTGGGTTCTTGGCGATTTTGATTATTGTGCCACTACCACTTATGCTTTTGGTGGATGTCGACCGCGGTCAACGAGATGCATTGGCGTTGGGAGCCGAATTGGATGGCATACCGCAAAGATCTGAGTATGGGACCATATCTGACGATCAAACCACGGGGGATCCGATTGAAGAGTGAAGATCAATGTATGTGTGACTGTGAAGTGAGAAGTAGGGGAAATTGCATTAAGGGTCTCTATTCGTAGGGTTTTCGTTTACAACTAAAAGAAAGAAGGGTATTCCCATAGATTTCGTGATGTTATAGTAGGATATATACAATAGAGGCCACTTGTCAACAATGCGTCAAATATCAAGGGCATGTCTCCGTTACCATTATTGTTATAGTTGTACCTGTACCTTATTCAAGTATCTTGTACCTTATACTCGAATTTCCCATAAATTGACCTGGCAACGGAGGTACCAGGTACCTGAAGGAAGGTCCGCCCTTGCAACCCTGCATAGCCCAGTCACAAAGCTCCACCTTTAGTGAACACACTGTCCTCAAGTTCCCACTCCCCAATAAAACCTTCCCTCTCTGGATCTTTTAAGCTTGTCTCTACTTTCTTCTAGCTTTCAACCTTGAGCATTTTGGTTGTTTGATTCAAGATATTAATTATGCGGTCTTTCGCCCCTCTGGTCCTGAGCCTTCTCGGAGCTACTGCGGCAGTCCACGCTGCTGAGCCTGAAGTTGCCGACACTGACGCCAATGTCGTCACCTTGACAACCGAAACCTTTGATGAATTCGTCAAGGAGCACCCTTTGGTGCTTGCTGAGTTCTATGCGCCTTGGTGCGGTCACTGCAAGGCCCTTGCACCCCATTATGAGGAGGCTGCCACAGAGCTGAAGGCCAAGGATATCCCCGTGATCAAGGTGGATTGCACCGTGGAAGAGGAGCTCTGCCGAACCTACGAAGTTGATGGCTACCCTACTCTGAAGGTATTCCGTGGCCCCGATGCACACAAGCCCTACGCTGGTGCCCGCAAGTCCGACGCGTAAGTCATTCTAGGTTTCGGGTTCTTGTGCTCTGGAAATTAACGCGTTTCCTCGATAGAATCATTTCATACATGACCAAGCAGTCTATGCCCGCCGTCTCGAACGTGAACGAGGAGAACCTAGAGGAATTCAAGGCCTTGGACAAGATTGTTATTATTGGATACGTGGCTTCTGACGACAGCGCCTCCAACAAGAGCTTCACTTCGTTCGCTGAATCCCAGCGTGACAACTTCCTCTTCGCTGCCTCCAACGATGCTGCTCTCGCTAAGGCCGAGGGCGCCAAGCAGCCCTCGATTGTTCTCTACAAGGAATTCGATGAGAAGGTGGCCGTTTACGACGGAAAGCTGGAGGAAGAGGCCATCCTTGAATGGGTCAAGACCGCTAGTACTCCTCTTGTTGGCGAGCTTGGTCCCGAGACTTACTCAAAGTACATGGCGGTATGTCTAACTTCTTCTGTCCTCGTATTTGAGCAAGAAAAGAAACTGACTTTCTACAACGATTAGGCCGGTATTCCCCTGGCTTACATCTTTGCCGAGACTCCCGAGGAGCGCGAGCAGCTCGCTGCTGATTTCCGTCCCATCGCTGAGAACCACCGTGGAGCTATCAACATTGTTACCCTTGATGCTAAGCTCTTCGGCGCTCACGCCGGCAACCTTAACCTTGAGCCCGAGAAGTTCCCTGCTTTCGCTATCCAGGACACTACTAAGAACGCCAAGTACCCTTACGATCAGACTAAGAAGGTTGATGCCAAGGATATCGGCAAGTTCATCAAGGATGTCCTTGAGGGCAAGGTTGAGCCTAGCCTCAAGTCCGAGCCCATTCCCGAGACTCAGGAGGGATCTGTTACTGTTGTTGTTGGCCGCAACTACCAGGAGGTTGTCGTTGATAACGAAAAGGATGTGCTGGTCGAGTTCTACGCTCCCTGGTGCGGACACTGCAAGTCGTAAGTTTTTCACACCTCATCTACCATTTGTCGCATGTCTAACTCATCATCACAGTCTTGCTCCCAAGTACGAAGAGCTTGCTGCGTTGTATGCCGATGTCCCCGAGTTGAATGAGAAGGTCACTGTCGCCAAAGTCGACGCCACTGCCAACGATGTGCCAGATTCCATCACTGGCTTCCCCACCATCAAGCTCTACCCCGCTGGTGCTAAGGACTCACCTATTGAGTACTCTGGTTCCCGTACCGTGGAGGACCTAGTCGCCTTCATCAAGGAGAACGGCAAGTATCAGGCGGACGGCCTGGCCGATGGCTCCAAGAAGCCCGAGGAGCGTGCCGAGGTCACTTCGGCCCCCAAGGCCACCGAGTCTCCCGCATCCGATGAGAAGGATATTCATGACGAGCTTTAAGCGCTTACTCGCTTTTTGAATGTGTAACTTGATATGTTGTATTCTATGCCTGAACTCGGACTTATATTCGATGCCATTTATTCCCCGTAGACTGTTGTGGCACAATCCAGACTCTTGTAGTGGCTGGTATAGATTGAATCAGTAAATAGTTTCTCCGTATAATTCTATAAATTTTATAAATACTATATTTGATCATCTCCCAGCCTTGCAGATCAATCGCGTCGCGTGAAACGCGTCGATTTCTTATCGCCCCGGATTGAGCTCCCGACAACTTCCAAAGTCCTGGGGTTATTTCTCCAATCTTCATATTTGCCCATCATGGTCAGCCCTGTCATGAAACGAAAATCGGAGCATCTCTCCGCCCCTGACTCGAAAAAACCCAAAGGTGGAAGCATCACTGCATTCTTTGGAGCTCCAAAGCCGAAACCCGCGAGCGCAACTTCAGCCCCACGGCCATGCAGCTTTGATAAGGCAAAATGGGTTGCTTCCCTGACGCCAGAACAAAGGGAACTATTGCAGTTGGAAATTGATACCTTGGATGAGAGCTGGCTCGCTCACTTGAAGGATGAAGTGGTCAGCACTGAATTCTTGAACCTGAAGCGGTTCCTGAAGAAGGAGAAAGATTCCAATATTAAGGTCTTTCCACCAGAGGAGGATGTCTATTCTTGGTAAATTGGATCACTCTATTCAGGCCAAATGTGTGTGCTGATCATACTGTAGGTCCCGACACACCCCCCTGAACAAGGTCAAGGTGGTCATTATTGGCCAGGATCCGTATCACAATCACAACCAAGCTCATGGGCTATGTTTCTCCGTCCGTGCCCCTGTACGAGCCCCGCCATCATTGCTCAATATCTACAAAGGTATCAAGATCGACTATCCTGACTTCGAATCACCGCCCGATAAGGGAGGGCTTCTCATACCTTGGGCTGAGCGTGGCGTCCTGATGCTCAACACTTGTCTTACGGTTCGTGCCCACCAGGCCAACAGTCATTCCAACAAGGGTTGGGAGAAATTCACACAGAAAGTTATCGATCTCGTTGCTCGGGTACGAACCACCGGCGTCGTCTTCCTTGCTTGGGGCCGGCCTGCTGGAAACAGAGTAGCGAAAATCAACAAAGAGAAGCACTGCATCCTACAATCCGTGCATCCCAGTCCTCTGAGTGCGCATAATGGCTTTGTGAGTAGATCCTCATCTAAGGACATCCTTGGAAACCATATTTGCTGACAGGATGATATATAGTTCAAAAATGGACACTTCAAGAAGTGCAATGATTGGCTTGCTTTGCGGTACGGAGAAGACGAAATCATTGACTGGAGCTTAGTGCCATCCGAAAAGCCTCTGTTGCCTCCTTGCGTTTCTGACAAGGAAGATTCGACCGCTTTGGTCAACCATTTGCCACAACCTGTCAAGCCTGAGGATGTCAAAGCCCAGCCTGACAATGATGATGAGTTTGATGACGATGACGCTATTGAAGCCCTAATGTCGGCCGAAGCAGAAGCTTCTTCGAACACAATTTAGACTTCTTGAACTGCATGCATGCCTGTCACCTTGCTGGCTTAGAAAAGTCCTGCGTTGGCTGTGTTTGTTTCCATGTTCTTTTACCCGAGGAATATTTCAGGAGTTAAGAAGTTGGGCCATTTCTATATGTATAGTAGCTAATTTTCATTTCAATCTATTGAATGTCTGTTTCATCGATGTCTTTAATTAAGCTCATTTCAATTAAGCTCATTGGTTGACAACGATCTTGCGAGCTCCTTATCGATAAGCCTATCTCGATCTCCGATTCTTCTTCTGCTGAGAATCTCCCCTATAAGTACACCTGTGATGTAAATGGTTTCCTAGATGGAACTCACGTGGCTTCCGGATATCCCTCAATCGCGGAGTCGCACTCGAGCTTTGCGAGCTTGTCCCACGTGCCAACGATCAAAGGTACGTACACGATGGGAATATTGAACCCAACTTTCCATCTAACCTCGCAATAGAAACGCTGCCGGCATTTGATTCCCAAATGGGAACCCTTCAATGACCCGAGATCACCGCCACAATCGCACGATGACCTTGGGAGGCCTATTCACAGAAATGACTCGAATCGCGAACAGCTTCCTGCATCCGCGCACATAGACCGAGCGCAAACAACGTCCGACAGTCTAGCTCCGTTATCGGTTCCTGCCACCGAGCGATTTGTGGGAGATCTCAATCCAGAATCCCTGATTCGCGAGCGATTAGATGAGCCGACTGGGAGCCCTCTCCGGGATCGTATCGGGCTTTGGATCAACTCCCCAGCTGCGCAGAAAGCAGAGCCTCGGGGCATACAGAGAGGACAAGCCACAGCCGGAGAATATGCAGCCAATATCCCGGCACAAAGCGCAATCGATGGCCAAGCCATTGCATCGTTACTTCACCAAAGGTTTGCGGCGGGGATACAAGCATGCGAACAACTACCTCTCGCGACGCGCCAGTCTTTGTCCGCTATCTATTTCTCCAAGGTTAATCACATCGTGCCAATAGTCGACCAGGAATCTTTCCAAGCCCAAGAAGAAGGCTCGGCGTCGGTGTTCCTTGAAAAAGCCATATGCCTCGCCGCAGCAAAGACCCGCGCGGCTAATCCCCACTTACGCCTTGTGCCAGACGGCCCAATCCTATCGTCACGCCAATTCTGTTCTGAGATATATAAGGAGCTGGTTGTAGCTATGGACGCAGAGCTAGAACCGGATCGGTTGACACGGATCCGCGTTCTTGCACTGATGTCCTTGCACTGTGAGGGTCTTGAAGGGGCCGAGGCGGCATCTCTACATCTCTGCCAAGCTATCCATCAGGCCCAGACGGTAGGATTGCATCTCGGCCGGCCGAATCAAACCTCCACGGATTCCCTCACTAAACTCTTCTGGTGTCTATGGACATTGGACAAGGTGCATGCAAGTATCGGTGGGCGGCCGGTTCTTCTAGCTGACCGCGATATCGGGGTCGTAAAGCCCGATGTCAGCGCTCAGACGTCGCGAGGGGCTTTCGAGGTGTGGCTTGCCGTGTCGGATTTGCTCGCAACTGTCATATCGTTCTACCGACCCTCTGCAGAAGCCACAAGCGGGTGGGAAGAGGGATTCCCTGCGTTTGAGGATATCGTAGGGGAGGATACCCAAGATGACCTGGATTTTGCTACTCTGGGTATGTCTATCATGGAGGTCTCTGCTGTGCTATCGTTTGAGCTAACCGCGAGTAGGCTTCTTGGAGCTTTACTATCATTCTGTGGCTATTTTATCCTGTCGGTATAAACCCACCGAGAACATCGATAGCACCAGACTGTCGTCTGTCAGACAAGGACTAGCAGCTGTTCGCATTCACTCCATCGTCGCCTCGGAGTGTGCAGATGACCTACCACCCCTTCCAATCGTGCCGTACTCTGTCACCTTGTCTATGGGTGTTGCATATCGACAACTCCGCTCGAGCAGACTTATCACGCACCTCGACCGAGCGAAAGCTAGTCTTGAAGCGTGCCGCTCCGTTCTAGAAACTCTTAGTCCATATTGGTATTCCGCCGAGGCGATGGCCCGGCTGGGCCAAAAAGCCCTGCACCAGATTCAAGGCAAGCCACAATCCTCTCGGACGAACCCTATCGGTCCACAGCATGTGGCAGAGGCCTCGCACAAAGAAGTCAGCACCCACGGCCCGGTATCAGAGGGGCCAGGGACAATTAATCCGGCACCTCAAGGCAACAATTCCCCCCGAGCTAAGAGGCAACGCAATAACGACCATGGAACCACTGCTGTGTCTCCGCCGGAATTCGCGATGGACGTCCTCCAACCTCCGGTGGGCGGTCTGGATACATCTATACAAGACGGATTTGCAGACATTGACACACTGTTCGGAGAGTTCTTAGATATCTCTCTACCGACCCATTTCTGGGATCCTATTTTTATGGAAAATCAAGGGCAAACGAATGATCCGCAGTCATAATCATCATCATTAGAAGTATATACTATGTATAAAAAAAATGAAAGAAACTATACATGATGCAGCGTGAATTTTAGTGCCAAGCCATTCGCCTGTGCAACCTTCCATACGAGAAGCCGTTCATCAACAGACTGTCTCCAAGCCGAAGTTGCCTTTCGGATATGGTCTTCATTCTGAAAGCTTCATAGACTCATGCTCGGACATACCGTTCCCCGCCAGATGGGCGAAATCAACAGTCTTAGTTTCAGCATCGAAGCCCATCATGTTCACGTTATCAACCTCAAAATCAAAGCCCTTCTCATGGGTCGGGAGACCGTTTGGTTGTGCGTTGTCATCGGCAAAGAAATCGGTGTTGCCCGGATCGTCAAAGTTAATAAGTGCATCGAAGTCATTCTGGGTGACTTCGGCATCATTTGCCAGATCCATGAGTTCGGTGAGACTCATTTCAGAGGGCATAGCAAAGGCATTGGGGTCCTTGTTGTGGTTGGCATTCAGATTGAGGTTATTGGTGCTGCCGTTCTCGCTTCCGTCGGAGTGCGGTGGTGTCGAAGCAAAAATGTCTCCGGTAGACCGTCCGCCCGCGGAAGGACCGGAGAGTTTGGGGTATGTGAGATCCGGGATCTTCTGAGCGAGGGAATCCGGCGGGGGCGTGAGGGTGTGCAGGCGGGAGGGGATGGTGGTGTTGGTGGTCGTAGAGAGATTGAAGGGATCTGAGGATGTGGTAGGTTGTTCGCGGGGATTTGATGAGGCTGGAGAAGGCTGGATGTCTTGGGGAGAGATAGTAAGCTGAATGCCTGCTTTGCGAATTGCGGCTTCGAGGAAGGAGGTGGCGAAGTCGGCAGAGGCGTAGATTTCGCGCAGGCGTTGGAGGATTCGCATGCATTGATAGAAGCGCTGGAGGCTTGTCATGCGGATGCTTGGGTCGGTGGACTTGATGTCGAGGAGATGTATGATGACGGCTGGTAGAAGGACTGTGACACCGGTGGTGGGGTAGTACCGGGTCAGGTCGAGGCAATGCAAGTCCTGGGCGATGGCAGTGATCTCGACTGCGGCGAATCGCACCTTCTTTCGGGACATGTCTTGGAGTTCGGCGTCTGCGGATGGGTAGGGAACGGCGGGGAGGACTTGCGGGCGGTGCAGAGCGCTAGATGTGGTGAGATAGACCATCTTCAACAAAGCGCGATGGGAGTGAAGCACTTCGTCTGCTTCGGATAGTTTCGATCCGTTGGATGGTGCATATTGGGTTTCGACGGGGAGGTTGGCCAGCCAGTCCTCCAATTCCTGGTCACAACTTCGTACCTCGAAGGTCTCCGCGGTGGATTTCTTCGGGACGAGCATCATGGTGGTCTCCATGGTGCCACCAAACTTATGGCTGAGGACCGAGTACTGGGCAGATAATACATGGCTGACGCAGAGGCAGAGCTTCGCTTTCTCGATGAACATCAAGGCGAGCTCGCGCTGGTGGCTGACATTCTGGAGAATCTCCGAGTTGCCAACAATCGCCACGATCTCGGGGGAGAAAGGGTGGAATTCGAAGTCATCGAGACTCAGCATAGGCACATCACAATCGTCATCCTTGACACGCATAGGCCGTCGCATGCCTAGGGCAATCAGTCGGTCACGGGTGTAGGTGCTCCACCATATCCGCTTCCACATGCGTTGCCGACGGATATCCATCCGCGAGTTGCCGGGATCCCGGTGAAGGCCGATTGTGTGGGCTAAAGATAGACTCACCCCCATCCAATGCCAAGTGTCCTTTTGGTCGTCGGGAGTTTCGTACCAGTAGGTCATGAGCAGAAGCGATTGAACAAGCGAGATGCGGTCCACCTCGTAGTCGAAATCGTATAGGAGACGAGCACGCTGGAAGAAGACTTTCCGGGCGACCTTGCGAGTCTGGTAGCCGGCGGCCTGCAGATGCTTCATATCAATGAAGGCCACACCGGCAAACATGACAGCCTGGAAGAGAAGCAGACTGATGCGGTGGATTCCATCATTCTGGACGATATTCTGCAGGAACTCCTCCAGATCGAGCAAGGGCATATATGTGTGGACATAGTGAATATAGCTTTTCAAGAGTTCGTTCCGTAGTGTCACATCGGGGATAGTCAAGGCACCCTTGACGGCCAAGTAGTCAATATCCTCTTTCTGAAGTCGTGCGGGAAGTCCTCGGATGTAATCCGGGAGGAAACCACTCCCGGGTCTCGTATTGCCGAAATTGGGGTCTAATAGTTGTTGGATTTGCGAGGTCACATTGGCTAATGGCATTGAAGCGGGAACGGCTGGGTTCGGAGCCATGCGGCGTCGATAGTGGTCGTCGGAACCGATGCGTTGAGCCTGATTTTGATCTGTTGTTTTTTTTTTGGTCAGCCAAATGGATTTCTTCGGGGTTTCGAGGGAATTGACGAACATAGTAGATGAGGCATATGTTGACCGTGGTCAAGATCCACAGAGGCTTGCGAGGGAGATGTCGGTACCAAATCGGCCAATCCTGAAAGATCACTAAGGCGGGAGAAAGGATTCTCCTCCGAGCCCTCCGGAGACTCCGAAAGGTTCTCTATCTCAATGCGAGACTTCCTAAATCACATGTCAGTGAAGTTTATAGGTAATTAATTTCAATTGCACGAACTTTCTGCGTTTACTCTCGGTGACCACGCACTCGACCTGGTCTAACCGGCAATTCGTGCATGGAGAGCCATTCTCCACCACATCACAGCGCACTTTACGGGCACGGCAACAACAGCAAGCCTTCGAGGCGCGTCTCTTCACGGGACGGTTATGAGCGGAGAGACCGGCCGTGGAGGCCTTTCGTTTCCCAGATTCAGTATCGGTCATGGTGTGTTATTGTGTTCGGGGGCGACTAGGGAACATTCGAGTTATATAGAGACACCGGGCATGTGATAGAGAGCCGAAAAGGGAATGTCACGATGTGTGAATATGTGAAATAGGAAAGAAATAGGAAAATAAAAAAAAAGAAAGAAAAGGAAAAGCAAGTCGAAGGCCGAAATGGAGGGAATCCTTTTTTATTTAATTGCATCCCGCAAGGTTTAAGTATGCCCCAGGTTCCCACATTTTTCCTTACCATGGTTGAACCCGCAAACAGCCAAGGTTTGAGGGGAGTCGATCCGCTAGGAATAGATTACGGCTTACTGTTCCCCCCAGGTATTACAGAAAATTACCCAGTTGGGTAATATGCCACTACAAAGTCAGGGCTAAGACCCGTCAGACTGGGGTACCTTCGACACCTCTCTCGGCCCGGTCACGTTACGTCTGCTTTGGACATGTGAAAGTCGATCTATGATATCATTCTCTGCATATGCCAATATATGAGATATTTTGAATTGCAATATTCAATGTTTCTTTTGATTGCTCTTTTTCTTTCCCATGCCAAGTGGGCCCTCTATCCTCCGAAAAACACCGGGCTAAAACATTAATAAATAAAACGCCGTGAAGATCCTAAATTGCGGGTCGAAGTCGAAAAAAGGGGAATTTTCCAGTCTTTTCTCACATTCCCCAACTGTCCCAACCGCCAAGACTGGAGACTGAGTTCTCCAGTCTCCGACCAGCGGAGCCGATGTGGAGGCATTTTGGCCCGTTTGAGTCGACGTCTGGACCGATGAGTAATGTGATCAGCACTCTTCCAAGGTTGGTTTCTGCTTATTGAACGGTGTCGATATATGTTGTATATACATCCATCTTCTGGACTATACAACGACAATCCTACTCCGTACACTCCGACTATATAGATCATGGCAGGGTTGAAACTATTGATTCCTTACATACCGACTCGACCTACGTAATAGCACGGTCATCACGGCTCCGCACCTGGACAGCTCTGTTGTTATTATTAATCTTCGAGGCCGGGCCTTCCACAGTGGAACGCCATTATCGTTCCAATGCTATGAGACAATTAAATTGTCCTTTGTACCACATGGACAATCTGTTCTACTTGTACTCTCTGTGCTACGGCTTACATTAAATAGTGATACACTCAGACTTGACTCACCAATATTATATCGTGCTACCCACAATCCACAAGCCCCGGAATAATGACAACAACCGGAATCGTGGAGTACCCCTGAACGCCAAAATGAATTTATATCCCGCACCGTGTTCCCACCCGGCCTGCCGAGTTAGCCCTCACGTGGACCAAAAGTGCCGATTTCCGGAAGAACGTCCACATTCTCAAAGCACATCTTCATGAACGGGTTAACGGGGTACCCTTCATTACTTTTACTTTTAGGACTGTCCATTCCGTTTTGAAATATCCAGAGCGCAATGACGCCATACTCCGCTAAAAGCCTCAGACCTGGAATTCAACTGAAAGTCCAATGGAGAATTCTGTCTCTCACGAGGTCGAAAGCGGATCCAGTGGGACGCCAATCACTACGATAGCAAAGGTCAATGCTGGCTTCTTTTTTACTTTCTTTTTCTTTTCTGTTCTGTATCTCTTTGGTTTTATTACCGGATCCTCCCTTGGAAATTCCATCTGCTTCTTCCCGGCATATTCCGTCATCCCCAGACCAAATCCAATGAATCACCAGATCCTGGGGTAGAGTACCATGCCTTTTCAGATCGTGACCTAGTGCCTCTTTAGAATTCTTTGGATCGGAAACCATCTTGAAAGTCAAAACCTTATGCTCCGATACATTGCCGACTCTGCCATCCGAATCGGAACTGGTCGGTTCCAGCCTTGGAAGGTGAAATGTTACTCAATTGTCAATTCTTCAGTGTCTGCTTCCAAACCCTGTAGATCGTGATAACAGATCAAAGGTACGGAGTAGGTACATAAAGTGGCCTGCATAATTATGCTTCTTACCGCCTTTTTCTGCCGTCTATGTATCTATGTATAAAACTTATCCAGGGAGAAGATATGTAAAAAAAAAAAAAACATTAAACCAACTGATTCATGTCGTTCTCAATGACAAAGGCCGCAAATGTAATCATGTGGTCCAGCGCTTAAAGCAGGCGTACGGACTGAACATGGCTTGCGTCTAGGCTCGGCCAATGCCGACTTGTGATATTCAGTCCCGGAAAAGCGGAATGAAAACTCTTATATTACATATCCCTGCACATGAAACTTGCGCAAATGCAACTAATCGAGTCATAGCTGCAGGACTGCAGAGCACACAAGTCCATACCTCTCAGACATGTCGTCAATAAATATTGACAGTTTGAACAGCTCAGCAGAATCGAGGATAATATATATCGACTCCCAAATTGCCAAGCACTCGATAACACCAGTAGCCAGCAGACCAAGACGGCAGACCGGCATAATTGCACCCCACATTTCGCCAGTCCGGGGGGAAGGCCGAGTCTCAGCCACAGACCAGGTCGGCTTAGATCATATCCTCTTTCATCCCGCACATGGGGGAAGTCGGGGGTCATGGCGTACATGCCCCTCCAAATGCGGGGGAAATAGGAAACTCCAATGAGCGTGAATCATTGGCTGTGATCGCTGGCCACAGGGTATGATAAGTGAATATTTCCGCATGACTAGGGGACGCGGGTCCTCACTCGGGCCAAAGTGCCCCATACCCAGCGAATTTAATTAAGTCACCCCGCGAGAAATCGCCGTTTCCGGGGAAAAATTGAAATAATTATTCTTTTTTTCTTTTCATTTACTTTTTGGTACGGTGGCAAGAATTCCATGGTTCTAGCGTGTATATACCGGTATTCTACGATTCCTTCTAACTAATGTATTGAAACTGAGTAAGCTCGGAGGTTGTCGCCAACTTGGGTAGGGCTATTTCCTTGGAACCTTTCCTATGTAGGATGCCTCCTTCTACTCCGTACACCTATGCCTCTTGGGTGTGTGCTTGTCACTTCTATTCTTGCGAGAGTTGCGGCTGTGGTGTACTTAGCATCGCCACATCGGTTAAACTTGCAAATATGCGACAGACTCTACAGACAGGGGCAAGACTCGAACCGCAAGAAAAACCTAAGAAAGTGGCACAGCATCCCTGCGCCAATTTCTGTCGTTCCAAATCCAATAAACATGAGAAGACCCACCACTCTGGAATGGCAGCGAAGATATCTGCACTAGTCAGTGAGGGTAATCTATATAAATGAACAGGCTAGTTGTTAGCAGGACGGGTGAGCCACTGCTGGTTCTTTGCCTCGAAACGCTCTGCGCTGGCGGTGGCCAAGAACCGTCGGCAGTGAAGCTCTACGCTGAACCTCGCTGCTTGAGTGAAATTCGACTGATGCTAAGAGAATACATATTTTGCTGTGATACAGCACAGGGAGTAGTATGTGCTGTCATCATATAGAATGTTATTGGACAATGCATGTTTCTCCCTGCAGGTACTCATCCGCCTACAGATAGCCAGTCGTTTGCCCCATTATTTTCTTCCGATGTCAGCTGCTCATGTATAAGCTAGCTGCGGCTTGGGAAAATAACCAAGGTACCCCTCGACATCAGAAGGAGCATAGTGACTCCCAAGGTTGTGTACTCCGTAGACTGCTGACTTGGCATCCAAGACTCTAATGCTCCAACGATACTAACCACTTATTAACTGCCTAGGATGATCCCGAGGTCATGAAAAGCATATAATGGCAGTTGATCAATGGAATCGTTATATCATTTCATATCTGTTCAGTAGTGATCCAATTCGAATTCCAATCAACCCTCACGCCCCCTTGTCTGGACCAGACGCCGAAAAATAAAAGTAGACATAACATCATAAACCAAATTTGGGTAAACGCAAATCACTCTGCTGCCGGGGAATCAAAAAAGACCAACAAAACAAAAACCGGAAAGGAGAATGGAGAAAGAAGAATAAAAGTCAAATCCATAAAACATCTAAACACCACCACGGCCCATCCTCTCAATGGAACTCATGATCCCGCCTCGACCGGGAGTAGGCATTGCAATGCCAGATCTGCCATTGCCACCGCTATTGCCACGAGAATGACCGCCAGGAGCACCGAATCTAGGGATCCTCTTTTCCGTAGTGGCAGGGGGACGGATGCTTCCAGACACAGAACGGCTGACACTGCGACGACTTTCATCAGGGGTGACTTCGCGCGATGGCTGAGCTGGCTCGTTGACGTGGTCATTGTGCACAGAAGATGCCACAGAGGGCTCGCGGTCTCGAGGCTGAGATGGGACGGGCGGCTGCTGCATGGCTAGCCACTCATCAACAGCAGCAACAAGCTCGCCCTTCTCGGCGCGTTCAGACTCCAGGTCTGCACGAATTCGCTCGGTATTTTCCTTCATAGCAACAATTTCTCGCTGCAGACCCTTAATCTGGGCCGCCATGACACGCTTTTCGGCCTCGTGCTTGTCATTCTCGCGAGCGAAGAGACTGGTATTAGCCGCGGCCATTGAATCAGACTGCGCGGTATCACGTTCGACGCGAAGATGTTCGTTTTCCTCGCGTGCAGCAGTTAGCTTCTTCTCCGCCTCGCGCAAGCGCTTCTCCCAGCGAGACTCGTAGCTCTTTTTCAAGGCCGCAACCTTGGTTTCATGCTTGCCCTTGTAGAGCACATGAAGCTCACGAGCGACCTTTTCAACAGCATCCTGAACTTCCCGAGCAGTGTCTTCAGCTGAGTGAGAGGACTGATGAGATGAGCTGGCGTTACTGGCGCTAGATGCAGCCGCAGCGCGTGCAGCGGAAAGCTGACTTTCGAGCTCAACAACTTGGCCTTCTAAATTTTCCCTGTTTTTCTCGGCCTCTTCGGCCCTTCGAGACAGACGCTCACGCTCACGATCCCCTTCCACTAATTCAGAGCGGGCGGACCGCAGCACTGTCTCCATCTCATTGACTCGACGTTCCCACTCGGCCTGTTCCATCTCCAGCACCTCTTTGCCGGCGGCTTCGTTGCGCACTTCTTCCAGAGCTTCGCCGACACGTCTCTCCGCGTCTGCCACTGCTTGCTTTAGGCTTGCAACCTCAGCCTCTTTTCCGCTGAGAGTGGCTTTGAGGGAAGATATGTCAGACAAGAATCCGGACTTGAGTGACTCCAATTCACGGGGAGTGACCGTGGGAATGGATCGAGGGGTAGGCGCAGCCGGAATATCAAAGTCCAAAAGTGACGACATCTTCCCAGGAGATCGAATGGATTGGCGCGCCGATCGCATAGGCGAACGCCGCGAAGTAGAGAAACGGGCACTTTGCATGGACTGACGAGGGAAGAAATTCATTTGATCGGTGAAATCAAGCAGATTAGCAGAGTCACCTGGGTGAGCCATATCACGTGGGCCTCTGGGTCTCGGCGTAGGCGATCCCGTAGGCGAATTTCCATCTATATAGGCACTCGCTCTGTATGCCCTACGCCCTGTGCCTGGGGTGGTCGGTTCGGCAATGTGTCGATGCCCGTCCATGGTGGGAGCTGGGCTGGGAGCGACACTTCCTCGCGTTGATTTCACCGGCGACTGGGCGCGCAGCTTCGCAAATGTAGTCATATCAGGCATAGCGGAAAATGTGCTCAAGCAAGTGTCATCCATTGAGTCGTCGACCATCGAATTCTCGTGTGAGATATTCTCCTTGTCGCCATCTTCATGAAGTACTGTGCTCATTCCTTCATTGTGCCTGTCCTCTATCATGCTGTTGCCAATTGCTGATCGGTCTTGCACGGCACTTGCAGCGGAAAGGACGCTCTGTTCCTGGACACTAGGGTCCTCTTCAACATCTATGTGGATCGCTGGTGCATCTGGTCGGCTCATCATACCCTTCTTGTGGCGCTCGTTCATCTGTAAAACGGCCTCTAGATCTTCAGGTGTTTGGTCGTAAGATCTTTTGCGGGGAGTTGCAGCAACTGGGCGCTGGTCACTCAGTCTAAGTGATGCACGAGAAATTCGGCGTGACTTATGAAGATCAAGGGTGTTGTCCTTGGGACTCGGCCGGAAGGACGAGTTAAGTACTGGAGTAGGGGAAGAAGAGTTGGATGCTACCTGTGACTTCGCATGCGCATCTAACTTTGGGGTATCAACTGTCTCTGGTGCTTCGTCGCGGACGGGCGAGTTCGGTGTCACAGGTGAAGAATATTTAGACACTATTGGTGAATCTTCTTGCACATCATGTAGTTCCGATGGATCGGCTGTCATGTTTTTTGCTTCATTGCGGATAGGCGAACTAGAGGGATCGGGTAATGGCCGCGATTGAGGAATTGGCGAGTCACTCTGCATTTCGCGCAAGCGATCAAAGTCTACCGTCTCTTCCCGCGCATCAGGGCGGAATGGGGAGCTCTCCGGATCTTCTAGAGCTAGCCGCCTTCCCAACCCAGGTGACATAGGCTGAACCTCGCGCAATTTTTGAAACCCCACTGTCTCTTCCCGGACATGAGGACGGAACGGGGAACTTGCGGGGCTCTCCTCCTCCAATGGCTCAAGCTCTGGGTATGGCAGAGGAGAAGACTGTTGCTCTTCGTGGATATTTTGGAAATTCACTGTATCTTCACTGGCATTAGGCCGGAAGGGAGAACTCATTGGCTCCTCTACAGCCAGCCGCTTGTCCAAGCCAGTTGATATGGGCTGCAGTTCGCGCAACCCCCGGAAACCAACTGCACCCTCCGTCACATGTGGACGGAATGGAGAGCTTATAGGACTCTCCTCCTCTAGTGGTTCAAGTTGTGGGTGTGATTGGGGCGAGGTCTGTCGCATTTCGCGTTGCTTCTGGAAATCCACGGTGTCTTCGCGCCCATCAAACTGAAACGGTGAGCTAGCACCGTGTTGATATGATTCGGCATCATTGAAATCGTCATTCGCGTGTTCATTTTCGTTCTCGGGTTCGTGAGGGTAGTAGGTTTCGTATTCATTATAGCCGTTCGGACTCGGGGTAGCGTGACTTGTCCATCCTCTCTTCAATGGGCTTGAGGGAGCAACATTTTCCGAGGGCTGATCAAGGGTCTTGTGAAGGAAGGGCGAAGAATTCGCCATTTGAGATTGTGCGCGCGCGTTCTGGTAGGAGGATGAGAGGGGCAAGAGTGGATTTGACATTATCAAAGCCAAGAGAGGCCCTCGAGAACGAGGGTGAAGATTGTTACAACTGAATCGTGCGAATAGGTCTCTGGTCTTTTTTCAGAACTAGTTCGCTGGACAAGAAGAGAGCAGAGCAAGGCAGAGTTTGTGTAGTTATACAAAAAGAGTTGCAAGGTTGCCGTGTTGACGTTGCTGGGTAAACAGAGCTAGTCTCAATTGGGAAATGTGCATCCCAAACTATCTAATCGGAGTCTCGGACTAGGTATACAACACATATCCCTGTCTTTGACGACATAGTTCAGTTATATGACCAGTTTAGCTCATAGTACTAGGGATAGAATATAATTGCTACGCTTCGATCCGCAATCAAGATACCACTCCGATGTCTTCTTTAGATGTCTTCCTATATGTCTTTCAAGCGTCTTTCAAGATTCTTTCTAGTTGTTATGTTCTTTTATGTCTCCTTACATATTTTTTTTAGATAGCCTTGCTGTATTGGTATAATATCCAGCAGACTATTGAATACATGTAGATAGAAAGCATGACCCTACTTGGATGAGTGTAACATACGAGAAGGACAATGCCCTAGACGAAGCCTCTGTTGATAATATTAATGAGATTTATGATTCTACTAGTCTAGAACTCTAGTTCTAAAAAAGACCCCCATTAGACCCTCGTTTCCTAATCCGACAATTACGCTTCTGTGTGCGCACCACCTTCATTGACAATAATATGAACGATGTCGTCGTGTGGCTGCTCTGGAAGAGCAACATAATGGCAGACAGCCGCTGGCTCCACGGTTGCTGATGAACGTTTGTCGCGCTGGATGAACCACAGCTGTAAAGCACCGAATAATGCAACGAGACTACTCCCCCACCAGGCAAGAGCAGTGCAGCCAATCTCAGCTCCAGCACTGTAAAGCAAGCCAGAAATCGGAGGCGCAAAAGTTCGAGATGCAGCCCCAGCGGAAGCAGCGAGGCCATTGATTTTCCCCATGACGGAGTCTGAGGGGCTAGCTTGCTTGATGAGAATCAAGAGGAGGGGATAGTCGATAATGGACAAGATATTGCGAACAATTAAACAAGCATAAATACCGACATAGATGAGTTGGCGCGGCAAAAAGACCAGGAAGGGAACCATGAAGTATGCAATTGGATGGAGCACCGTAACGATGACAAAGAGCCGCCAGATTCCCAGGTAATGTGCCAGCAAGGGGAAAATGATGCTTTGGATCACGAGGGCAATGATACCATCGGTGGACATGATTACACCCACAGTTCGAGTTGAAAGACCGACTCCGCCCGGGATGTCAAAGGGCGAGTGGTGCGAAGGTGATGGCCCTCGGGGGTCCTTATCCTGCAAGAATATGGGCAAGAGATGGTCATATGTCATCGAGTGATAAGTAAAAATAGCCAACGCAACTACAAGCATAATGACTCGCCAGGTACAAGCCTTGGGCTTTGGTAATTTCTTTGTCGCGGGCGAGGACCCATCGGCTTGCACATTCCAACTCTCGTCATTATGAAGGTGGACTTGGTTAAAGGTCCCGTAAGACTCCGCTCGCAGGTCCACGCCAGCATTGGCGGTTGCACCAGATGTAACCAGAAGCGGCTGCTCAGCTGCCTGGTCGAGATGTCGATTGGCCTTGCCGGGCTGCATGTCTGGATGGGTCTCTTGCAGGAACAGCCAGCTACCGATAATGCTAAGGAGAAGTAAGACGCAGCAAACAAGGTTGGGCAAAAGGTAGGGGAATTTTCCAAAGAGGCCATCGGCTGGGAATAAGGATGGGAAGCCTTCAGTTGGCTTTGCTAGCAAGCCTCCAATGGCTGAATATAATTAGCATTTGCAGTAGAATTCTATAATGGGAAGACTATACATACCTGGACCGATAATCGTTCCAATTGACCAAACAAAAGGCATGATGGCATATGCTCGAGCTGGAGACAAGATTAATCCCTGATTCCGCTAGATATGACATAATAGAGATGTACTTACGTTCATGTTCTGGTCGCTTGACAAGCTCACTAACCATTGTTTGAATTACTCCAATGTTCCCATTCAGAGCTCCTCCAAGGGCTCGACCGGCGAGGGCGATCCAGAAGTTCGGAGCCATCCCAACCAGGAGCAAAGAGGCCATAGTACCGAAACTTCCAGATATAATGATAGGCTTTCGGCCTACGCGGTCCGAAAGAGCGCCCCAGAGCATACCAGTCAAGGCCTCTGCGAGCGAAAACGCCGAAATCAAAATACCGGCATAGAAGGAGGCATTGTTACCATTGGCCATGTGGAAGTCCTTGACCATCACCCACGAGTAGGGGAAGATAGAAGTCAAGGCGATAGGCTCTGCGACCCTGCATATTGCTGTTATGTTGTGTCAGTCATTGCCAGGTACAAACCCGGGATATGGCATACCTAGGAGGAAAAGTTGTGCTGTGGGAAAGCTGTCTGGCGACGGATGTAGTCTTGACTGTGGTGTCAATGCCATAGTTCTTCAGAAGCAGCTAAGATCTTACGGCAATCCACCCGGCAGTGTCGAGTTGATCTCTGCCCGTACCTTGTACCTTATAAGCGGAAGGTTTTCTTTCTTTCTCTTTCTTTCTTTCTTTCCTTCTTTTTTTAATATCCCAAGAATGCCAATTTCATTTATCTGAGAATATAGGAGGATCAAGGTGGGGTGAGGTTGAGAAGTCGGAGAGGGGAGAACCTTGGAAAGATACTTTATTTTCCACAGCCGAGAACGGACACAATCTGATCCTGACCCCTACCTAAAGGAATCTGGAACTCTTGATCCTTTACAGATACTCTTTCAAAGAGATATGGATAGAGATAGTTTGAATATTGTGTTATACTGTAGTCTTATCTCTCCAAAAAAATCTGAGTGGCGAACCATATTTTGTTCGGGTATCTCGGCAATGGCCCGTGATATTGTATTGTTCAATAATGATTAGTTGTCGAATTAATAACAGAATATAGCATAACTAATGTAACTATGACATATCAATTATATAATGTTATATCCAGTAAACAACACTGTAGTCTTTCGATGTTCCCCACTCTGCTTTCTTATATCCCAGTCGACCAATCACAGGCCACATAATCATTTAAGTTAGACCTACTCCGTATAGATCAGCCGCATATGTACTTCACATGTTATAAATGATTGAATATAACGTCCCTTATATCATCTAAGCCAAATGGATCAGTCAGTAAAATGCGCCGTCAATGACAGAGGAACCGCATAAGCGGCCGGCTATTCAAGGTTATACTTATGTCCATAGTTGATAGTTGTATATGCCGTGCCTACCCTGGACATAGATATATTGAAAGAAATCAGAAATCTCACTATTCATCGATCTGAATGCTAAACACAAAGAATTTCTATCCTTGACCAAAAAGTAAGAAATGATGATATGAGGGGGGAAAAAAAACCATGAGCACAGAAAAAGATAAGTAGAGATGCGTTCACCGGTGACCAATCCCCTGCGCCGGCTAATCCACACATGTCATACGGTCCGGATTGTATCTAGATACCAAATAAAGAAAGCCAAACTGGAAAAAAGAAACAAAAAAGAAACAAAATCAAAGGATTCACGAAGTAGCCTCTGGATGCGTGGGGGAACTAGTGATTTCGACAGAGCGGGTCTCAAGTTCCTTGGGAAGGGTTCCAGAGTGATCATGAGACTCCACATGAGACTCAACGATAGGCGTCGATTCAGAGTTCACTTCTAAAGGCTGGTGGACCGACGGTGTGGCACTTGAGGAAGAGCCCTCTGTCTGTAGCTTGTTGGAAGTATCCTCAACGTGTTCCGAAGAGTCTTCCACTTTCTCCTCATCTCCAATAACAGCAGCTAGACTGCGGAAATTGAACATCGGCTCAAGAGAGTTGGTGTTTCCCTCTCCAGTAGGAGGACCACTTGTGCCATCCTCCGGAGTGATTTCCATGACAGAGGAGAGCGACGAAGAAGCGCTGGAGACCTGTCGCAGGTGAGATTGTCGTGACGGCTCGGACAGATCTGCCGATTGGTTTCCTGGTGCTATTGGTTCAAGCAGCGTAGGGGAATTCGTTTCTTCCGCGGCTGATGGCAATGCACGATCAACTCCCTTGCCTTTACTAGCAGCAGCGATTTCTTCACCAACGACATCTTCGCCTATAACAGAGGATGAGCTACTAGTCCCCTTACCAATACTGGACTCGCCGAGGACATCCAAAGCGGAGGCGCTAGCATTATTGCTGTACAAGCCAGTCTTGCGAGCCATCTTATCCGCCTTCTTAGCCTCTTTCTCCCTCTCCTTCTCCCTCTTTTTGGCCTCCTTTCTTAACTCCTTCTCCTCCCGTTTGAGGCGCTCGTCTTCACTGGCCAAGCTCAGTCGGATAGCTTCCATCATCATCATTTCCTCAAGATCGTCGATTCGATTGCGTCTCGAGCTTGATCGAGGAGCAGCCGGGTTGCCCGCTCCCTCTTCGGTAGAAGCAGAATCGGTGTCTTGTGCAGTTGCTCGAGGTGTCCGATCAGCACCCGTACGCTCCGTCAAGAAAGCCAATGCATTGAGGGCGGGTGAAGAGGTCCGGCCGTCTCCACCGGTGGCTCTTCGCATTCCGCGCCGTCCGATGCCAAAACCATGTGACTCACTCCCAGATGCACTGGGGTTGATCAAATACGCTGCAGTGTGGAGGGCGGTCGCTGCCGCAGATCGACGTGCCGCGTGGGCTCGTGCATTCGATAATTTGGTGGCCCAATCCGGTCGAATCCTATCAGTCGTCACCACGGTGGGATCAGTGGCGGATAGCGAGGTTGCACGGCGGCGACCTGGAACGGCTGCGGTGGCGGATGATAAGGAGGAGGTGGAAGATAAGGGGGAAGTGAAGTTAGGTGAGAGCCGGGCCCCGGGGTCTGCAGCATAAATCAGGCCCCGACGGAATGAGGGTGATGAATAGGTGACTCCGAACTCCGGCTGGACACAGAAGGGACATGCCGATGGCTCCGAGACTAATTGCGACTCGGTCGACTCAGCCTGCT